GGAAATGGCCTCAAGTTGCGCCAGGGGAGGTTTAGATTGGACGTGAGGAAAAATTTCTTTACTGAAAGAGTGGTTAAACATTGGAAGAGGCTGCCCAGGGAAGTGGTTGAGTCACCATCCCTGGAAGTATTTAAAAGACGGGTAGATGAGGTGCTTAGGGACATGGTTTAGTGGACATGGTGGTGTTGGGCTGACGGTTGGACTCGATGATCCAAGGTCTTTTCCAACCTTAATGATTCTATGATTCCATGTTCAAAGGATGAATGAAGGAAGGCCATGAGCACAGATCTGTGTTCAGAGTCTTACAATGAATTTGGGCTTCTGTAGACCAATACAAGCATTTCCAATGAGAAAGACTCAGAAGCATTTTCACACTTGGGAATTTGATTAAAACATACAACAACTAGATTTAAACCCAGGAAAGCAGCTATAAAAAAAAAAAGCAATATGTCCAAAATACCTTAGCAACAATTTTTAAGTTCTGCCTCACGTGCTATTACTTATTCACTTCCCTTTCTGGTCTACTTCTAGTGATGGAATTTTCTGTTATAATTGAGTAAATCTAAACTGACTGGCAATTTTTCTTCCTCCAATCAGGCAACTAAGAAAAGAAAGAGCCATGATACCAACCCACGTATACACGCTATCTAGTCTACAAACCATCTGAGAACCGTTGTCCTACCACTTGTGTTTTAATAGCTGACCAAGAAGGAACTGTAAGAACAGCTTTGTCTTTTAATCTAAACCGAGTGCTAACACATGCTTAACAAAGTTATTTATAATATGCTTTCATTTCCCAGGATAAATTACCTATCCTGGGGGCTGTGGACTACTGGTAACAGCAGGAGTTATCAGAATCCATGTCCAGTGGATTCTATTTCCATGCCTAAAACCCATCAGCTGTATAATGCTGAACATGTTTCTCATCTGTACATCTGATTCAGCAGTTGCAAAACAGGAATAACTGCGTGCACCCCCATATGTACCCTGGTTTACAGGAACTCGCGAAAATCAATTACCATTTGAAGTGTTTCAGTACCACAAGATTAAAGTGCCTCAAAAGGAAAATACATAGAATTAATTTACTGACAGATAATTAATACATTTACCTGTGTTGCCTCCCAGCCCCACTGCCTGTACTTGGGATCATGGGTGAATCTCCACATATACCAGTAGGTCTCAATCACCTCTGGTCTTAGGATGTAATACTTCTCGTTCTGCCGCACTGCCACCGCCTCTATGCCACCATCAAATTTGAATGCTTCTGGACCCAGCTTTAATGCTGCAGAGGAAGGGGGGGGGGGAGGAAGAAAAAAAATTATTCCTTACCAACCTTTGCAGGAAGGGTGGCTAGGAGACTGCTATATCCCAACCATGTGAGAAAAACAGAAACTAGCTTGTCTTTAAGCAGTCTCATAAATATTTCCTATTGTTGAGGCCTATAATTTTCCTTATGAATAATTTATCCAATTCCTGTGAGAAAACTACCTATCTTGACAGATGTACAGTAATCCTCTTGAAACCTAATGAAACGCTAAGAATATAAACACATGAACACATTCAATTATAGGATAAAATTAAAGTGACCGACATTGATTCTTTACAAGCAAAAGAAAAAAAAAGGGTCAACAGAGGTTTTGATGTCCTTTGATCCCACCCAGCACAGTGGAAAAAGATCTTCGAACAAAACCAGGTACCACCATCTCAAATAACCTGCACCTTTATCCAAACTCTCTTGGTTTAGGGAAGTGCTGTCGGGCCACCGTAACTGAAGTGCTTCATAACATGATCCTCAAGTAAAGAGTTTATAACTAGGCAATGAAAACTTAGCCACACCTGAAAATAAATCTCTGAACTAAGAGATCCACTATTTCAGCCCTTAAAGGAAGCTGCAATGGCCCTGTGCCAGCATCTGGAAGACTATTCATGTAAGAAGGAGGTACCTGTAGAAAAATTGTCTATAATATGAAGATGCAATTACGTTTTTTTTTATTATACAGCTACACATTATTCCTCAAATTTGACATAAATAATGCACTCTTATCTACAGCTGCATGCCACCCTTTGCTTTGGCAGAGAATTTTTAAGTTGCTGAACTTTGAAGCTGCACTTGAGCTTTAAAAATTATCAAAGCAATTAATCATGTAATTCCTATGGGCTAGAGGCTCAAATTAACCATGGTCTCATGAGTCTGAAAGGGGAACCTTATACGAGCACCTCCCAGTGCGTACCCCAGCATAAAATGTCCAAAAAAAGTTCCTTAATCTTTTTGTTTCAAGGGAGTACGGCTCTGGATGCCAACAGAAAAAAGCACCACACTCTGCTTCAGCCACATGTCTGGTAAGGAAAACTCCATCAAGAAATGTTTATGATACTTCTTTCAAAATGGGCCATTTTACCAGTTTCAGTAAAAAAAATTTACAGATTTTACTGCAAAATCAATGAGATTAGATACAGAGTTCTACCTATCCAAAATTAAGAAGATAAGGATGGCCATACTGAACCAGGTGGAAGTTCTGTCTGGTCCAGTATCAAGTCTCCAACAATGATCAAAATCAGACAAGGATGGGGAAGAGGAAGAACAGGCCAAGTATATGAGATACCTTTTTCCAGCTTCTCTACCAGTCTCCAATTTCTTTGAGCTCAAGGCTTCTCTCAAACTAGACATGCTTTTTTATGTGGTCAGTAATTCTTAATAGATTTATTTCTCAAGTACTTATCTGGTGTTTCCTTGAACCTGTATAAGCCTTAAGCATCCAAAACAACCTCTGCTAAGGAGTTCCACATCTCTAATACCTCTGGCGTAGAAACTCTCTCTGCAGCTCTTCCAGTTCTACTATATTATTTGTGAAATGAGAGGACAAGCCTGAATACAGCACTAAAAGTGTGGACAAGATTAATACAGTGACATAATGACATTTTCTATTTTGCTCTTTCTCACTTTGTTTTTCCTGACTGCTACTGAGCTGACATTTTCATAATCTCAAGAGCAATTTCCTGAGTTGTAATGGTCAGTTAAGAGCTCATCATTTTATATGTGAGGTTAGGAATAATTTTTTCATAGGCGCCTCACTTTACATTTAATTACACCGAATTTAATTTAGTAATTTATTACGCAATTACTCAACCTCTTAAGGTCCTTGCATAATTTTTCAGCTTTCTTTCATCCTTGCTATCCTTTTTTTTTGGTTATTATCAGCACGCTTACCTTACTGTTCCTGCCCTTTTCCTGATCATTTATATATATGTATATTTGTATATATTTTTATTTATATATACATACACATATTAAAATATAAAATGTAAATATACTATACATTTATACACATCTATACACATAAAGATGTATCAAATATATCAGAGTACCACTGGTTAGCCACTATTCGTCCATTGGAATAACTGACTATTTATTATACTGCCCTATTTGTTATACTACAACCATTGTTTTTTCTCCATGCAGGTACTTGCTGTTTATGCTGTAGCTGCTTAATAGCCTTAAAGGGCCTTAGTAGAGGACTTTTGAAAAAGCCTTTTGGAAATCAGGTAAACCATGTCAGCTGTATTACTCTTATCCGCCGAAGAAGCTGGATTTCAGGCAGTTCTAGTGATGCATCATCTACAGAAACTGTGACACCTTCTCTTGCTTTGTAGCCTGCTGGCACATTAAATCTTTAATTATTTACTCATATCTACTTCTAATGTTATTGGGCACTCCAAGAAATTATACCACCCAAGGATGGGTGACCCCTGCATATTGTGACAATCTCACTGAATTTTTATCTGAAACCAAGGATGTAAAATTAATCACAGCACTTCTACTAACAGCTGCCTAAAATAAAGAAGCTACTATGAACATAGTACCTTTCAGAGGAGCATTCTTCTAAGCAAAGAACCATCTAAGGCCATTTTACAATGCTATAGTGGTCACACTTTAATCCAGATATTTTAGTATTAATGGGGCTGATAGGCTATAGTCTAGGCAGGGAGAGCAGATGAGAAACAATTTCACATCATAGTGCAAAATTGCAAAGCTAAACCAGTACCATCTTAAAAGAGATTTTAACTGATTTAAAGTTGACTTCAATGAGAGCTGTATTTAGCACTGCTGAAAATAAGGGCAAATCCTCAGATTTCTAGATAAATATTTATGTATCTAATTTTAGAAATATTTTTGAAAACATTGTTTAATTTTTTGTGTGTTCCTTTAAGACTAGAGTCAATCTAGCAATAAATTTCCTGAAAGTAAGAAAGGATTCATAATTATAATAATACTTTCTAGGCTCCGACTCACAAAATTTGAGGAAGAAAAAAATACTTTTGTTTGAGACTCTCTGAACCATTCCATCAACGTACATTGTTATTTTATACTTCTCATGAAAACAAGTAATTATTCTTGTTTCTTCATCTTTGCCTGTTTAGCTGCTTACTGAGAGTCTTGGGACACAGACAGCATCTACTCATACCCTTACAATGTCTCAGCTGAAATCTTAGTCATCTGGCTTATTCTGCATTGGAATTGTCACACATATAAGAACAGCTAAAGCTGTACCCAGATTCTGTGGACAGTTCTTGTCAAGAAACTTTAAAGACATGCAAAAAACTTCATCCTAAAATAACCTGCCTGTAGTCAGTCAATACTTTACATAGTATCAGCTAATGGCTGGGAAAATTCTTATGTATAAGGGATGGTGTATTTTACTAAAAATAGTGTGCTATAAATCAGCACATGCTGCCATCTATATAGATAATTTTGCTTATTAATCTAACCTCTACAATACCTATGAAAGCTAATTATTCAGATTGATTTGTTAGTGGTCTTTCTATTCTTCCAATTTCATTGGACTTTTTTTTTTTTTTTTACCATTTATGGATTTCACTTTACCATGTTTCTCAGTGGTACATGTTAAGCATGTAAAACAAAGAACTGATCCCCAGCAACTGGAATACCTCAAGATGTGCAGTCCACACACAAGCGTAAACATTGAGAAACCTTGCACCATAAGCACATGAAGCTGTATTCTTTTTGCCTTACCAGTGCCACTGACAGCATTATGATTCCTTGTGCTGTGCTGGTACATGGGCACACAGATCAGAGCATGCCCTCTATCTTAGGTTCTGTCAATCTTCTCTCCAAATCGAGAGCACACTGGACTACAGAAAAATCTTGAAATCTACTGTCATAGGATGGGAGATTTAGGATGACTGCAGCAATAATCTATCAATAGGTTATGGTACAGAAAAAAGCAGAGTAGGTAGGAAGCAGAGGCATGTGTAGAGTACACATCACAAGACTATTCTGGTTACAGTTAAGTTTTCTGACTTTGACCATCAATAAGCCTTTTCAAATCCTTGGTGTTCCCAAGGGATGCCACATGCATCCACAATTTCCTGAAGAGAGGAAGAGCCTCGGAGGTCTCATGCCCACAAGTTCAATGGATCCTGGAAACACAAATCCCTTGCTCAGAGGCAGATCAGTATCACACAAGTAACAATGTCACAGGTAGACAGACCACCTTACATTTGGACAATGAAACCTGGGCCTGATGTGAGAAAATAGTGTGTGTAGGATAGCAACATTTTCTCAGGGGGTAGGTCTGGAAGACTTGATCCCAAAAAACAGCAGCGTGTCGACTGAGTTTAACTGTCCAAAGCTAAAAAGCCCCAAGCTAACCTGAAGGGAATGATTAACCTGCTTTTAATTACTCAGTCACTTGGATAACAAAAGCAGATACTTTCACCCAAGTTGGGTTACTATGATGGCCAGGTACCTTATGAAAAACCTCTGATCCGTACAGAAGTCAAGCAACTGACTTTTGAACTCGAATGGGTCTGTTTCTACCACAAGGCATACCTCCTGTTACCTATTTTGACTGAGATGTCGAACAAGGTATCCTTGAATTCAAGAGACAAAAGTCCTTCTCCTCTCTGTAGAGCCTCCATCGCCATCCTGAACTGAGCTTATATATGAACACATGCAGTCCTCTTAAGTCCAAAATGGGGTCTCATGCTTCCTCCACATCTGCCTCTATGAAAAAACTATTCATCTTAGTATTGATTAATCCTGACTAAAGCAGCAGCAACTACAAACGATAATGGTGTTAGGTAATGAGGAAGAAACTGAGTCATGTGGGCTGAGATTGAGTATCTTTGCTTGACCCAGCAAGACATGTAGGTGCAATAGGCTGTGGCCTCTCTAAGGTAGCTTCACAGATATGAGGTTGGTCTTATTTATATGTTGGGAGACGTGGCATGGTGTCATGCCAGCAACAATCTGTCCAAAAGGTGATGGTGTGCTTTAACTTGTGCCACACTTTCAATCAAGTTAAGAAATGTCCTAAAATCTTCAGCAAGCCCCAATGATGCACTGTGAGCATCCAAAAAACCTGCAAGGGATCACTGATACACATTCCAGGGGTCTAAGGAATACCCAAAATGTCAGTGGAAAGCTCTCATTCCAATGATGCCAAGACTAAGGCAAATAAATCAGTCTACGACATTACTGTGCAAAACTGTGACCACGTGGCAACTTTTGCTGGTTACATGGTAAAGTGATTGCTGTTGCCAAAATGGAAAGAAAGGATGGGCAGTGGAGGATATTTTTTCACCAGTAAAGAGGTAAAAAAGCAGGATGCTTTTCTATCTGCAGGGTGACCTCAATCCTCCCCAAATAATTTGTGGCAAAACACACATCTTTTCATCATGCGTCTGGGGAGCCTAAAAGAAGTATTTGAGTTGGGGAATGGGTTACAGTATGTTTGGGAGCACTGTAACCCAGCTAAGCTTGTGTGGGATTCTTGCAATACAATCCGCTCCTCTGCCTGGCAGCTGGAAGAGGAGGGTATAACTGCCTGCTGGTGCAACAGCTCCTAAACACCATCTACTGCTGAAAGCACAAACTGGATGGCGACAGAATGCTTGACATCGAGGGGTAGACCAGAAAGCGGAGAAGGATTCATAATGGCCTAAGACCTCAAGGGTCTCAGAAGCCATCAAGAGAAGCAAATGCATCCAAGGGACCAGAGAGATGGTCTTAGAAAGAGAGTCTGGGCAATCATAATTCAACAGGTGACTTCTCACATCAATTGTCATAACTTCAGTCCCAAAGGCAAGTAAATGAATAAGAGAGGCAAACAGACAAGACCAAATGAAAGGGCTATATTAGCTTGACAAAATATGTAAAGTCTTGTTTTGTTAAAGAAGGCTGAAGTCACCACAAACGCTCTGCCTTATAGAGGGTGATCGAGTTTTGTCTGAAGACATAGGGTAATGTATGAGAGGGGAAAATGATCTGAGAGGATACTATTATTGCCTTAAAAAATCCTAATACATCAAGAACCTCCAGTCACAAATGTCATGGCAGAAAATTACCTCAATGCTAAATAGGCATGTGTACGGTCACTGCAAGACAAGCATTTTACTTATTACCACACTGGTAAAATCTGTCCAGATCAAAGTTACTCCAACGGCATTTATCTGAAAACTCAGAAGTCCTGGACCCTAAATCATCTGTCATGTCACCATGTTTGTTTATTTATGCAAGACATGGAAAGCATAGTTTCAAACCAGAATTTCAGGAGATGGTATTCCATGATTTATATAACATTATTGTAAAGACAGTAGCAAACGTAGAATTTAGTTTGCCTAAAGCTCTCTGAAATATCAAATTCTCTCTTTTTTTTTTTTTTAAACAGGCTTTCATACCTGCAATATGTGCAACAGGTTGCTGACAGTTGACAATATAATGCTCTTCTTTTCCAGAAGTGCTTTTATTCTGTGAAATTCTGTTTCGATTTTCCTGAGACTGGACCCTGAAACAGCTTTTTTTTTTTTCCTCATGCTTAGCCCTTATGGAAATTTAGGTTGCTTCATAAAGTAGTATTTTTATACTAGAATATTATAAACCCAGGCATATACTGCAGTTTATTATGAGCAACCCTGGGAAGACACAGGAAAGGACAGCTCTGGTTGGTTTATCTGAAGAAGAGAGCTCTCTGTCCTCAGCACGCAGCCTCAGCACCTTGCTGTCTCCTCTGGGGACACCAAATGGTGCAAGAGTTCTCCTGCGTCTACAGGAGAAAGAGGTCAGGCTCTCCCCTTTGCTGACTGAAACAAACTTATCAGCTGAACCAGGATGACTGTCTGCCCTCTGAAAGAGAGCTTTTTTCCTGCAACCAGCTAGTTTTATCATTAAAGTGTACAATTATGTCTCAAATCCTGCTGTTAAAGCATAATGAAGAAGTTGACATTTTGCACATAACAGTTCTTTATTTTCTTTGAAAAATCAGCCCAGGCAAAAAAAAAAAAACCAACCAAAAAAACACCAAACAAAAAATCCACATTCCTGAGATTGCATGACTGAACAAAAGAAAACTAGGGCATTGCAAATTTATAGCTGTCTGTAAAACTTTCAATCTGTTTATTGCATGTGTGTGTTCTTATACAGTCATTAAATATGTAACCAAAACTTTTATCCCCCCCCCCCATCTTTTGACGTATTTAGGGTACAGAATAAACATCTGAAGGAATAAAATTAGGACTGCACAAACAACTGTAAATTTAGCATTGCTTATTTTTAAGTGTCAAATTAAAAGTTTAAATGCAGTTTTTCAGAATGCAACAACAGCTACTATGTCCTACCTTTTTCCTTAAGTATCCTCACATTTTTTCTTCTCCTTTTTTTTAATGCTGTTGCTACCCAGGTAAAAGTATCACTTATGTGACTGAAATCTTTAAAATGACAGGCAATTATACAATGATACTGTGTAATCCTATAAATAAATACATGAATTCTCATCTTAAAACTGCCTGAGTTTTAGTTACCATTACTTCTACTAAGAAGTTATTTCAGAAGCTCACTCCTCTGATGGCTACACAAAGCCATTTCCAATTTCCAACCTACATTTATTCATGGCAAGCTTACAAATCTTGCTCTTGGTAGAACTGTGTCGTTTATATCTTAAAATAAATCTATTTCTTTTCAGTGTTTACCCCTTGAGATGACAACAAATTTATTTCTTTCTTTGGCATTATTTTTCTAGTCTGGGAAAATAAGAGAGGTCGGCCTGCTCATTGTAAGATAAAAGCTCTGTCACTCTAATCGTTCTTGTGGTCCTTCTCTGCATTTGTTCTGCTTGAAATTCAGATTTGTACAGTGTATTCTGGATGACAAATTATATGTGTCTTCTAAGGCATTGTTAATATTCTCTAATCTCTGCTGAAAATTCTTCACCTGATACAGACTAGGACTGCACTGGCATTTTTCAATTTCCAGTTTAGAGAAAGAGCTCCTGCCTTTTTTCTAGTGAACTACTTATTTCTGACAGTCCAGTCCTCAAGATCTTCCTGTTTACTATTCTGAGACTCTTCTGTTTTAATTGTGTCTTATGACTGTATGGGTACCGTAAGTGTAATCAGCACACTTCGACTTTATGCATCAAGGTCACTATTAAAGATGTAAAATAAACCTGGTCCAAAAGACTGAACTTGAGAAAATTCCAGCCCAACAGTGAAGTCTGATATTGCTTCCTCACTAGTCATGTCTTTGGCCATCTCTCAGTTTGCATACTAAACTTCATCCTCTCTAAGTACAAGTTTAATTGTACTTAGTACAATTAGTAAAAACAGTAAAAGGTGTATTTACAAATTTTTCACTCTACATAACCGTAAGAACAGTATACATGAAATGAAAAACTGCCCTATATATCTGGAAGAACAAGACTTCACACACACCCCTTCCTCCCTACACCCATATAACCTATCTTAGCTGACTGATCCAAAAATAGGGATAAATGTGCCAGAAGGAACCACATAAAGTTTGGTTTTACATTTACTCACTATGATGTAGATCAGAAGTAAATACATGGATGTTAAAAAAATTGTACTTGTATAAAAACAGTGCATGTTAGACAAGGCATAGGTCCATAACAAATCTTAAAAATAATTACAACAATTTCTTTATTTCAACTACAGAAATAACTAGATTAGCAATGTATCTTACTTGTTCTGTCATATGACTCATGACACGTATGTGCAATTTCAGCTCCAAGCTGCAAATAATGTCCAGCTTTATCATCTCTGGAACCATCTGCTCCAAGGGCAAACATTCCCCCTGCAAAACAGGTCAAATGGCCCATCTTTCTTTCAAGGTGCCCGTTCTTCCACTCCCCAATGAAGGTCAGTCCTCCATTGGACTTTCTGATGAGATGTTTTTCTATGGCCTACAAGAAGATTAAGAGAACTTTCAAATACTGTTTCACATTCAAGTTTTACATACTAACTCTCCTTCAAAGAATAAAGTATTGTTTTCAAAACAAAAAGAATTTTCTTCTTTCAAATCCACTTCTGAGCACTACAGGAACAAACAGCTATAAGAATCTAATTTCAACGTACACAAAAAATTACCCTAACTGCTAATCGATGCTAATGAGTTCAAACATAGGAAAATCACGACATAGATAACATTGCACTTTTAGCTGAGAATTCAGCACATATTTTACGGCTCAAACAATGTTTGTCTACCTGTTAACTCCGAGAAGTACCTATTTGTTCTGCTGTACAGTCTGTGTGTACTCAGAAAAATACATCCACATTGGAAACTTTTGGTCAGCAACATATGTAAAGGCAGCACCTGTACTCTCAGTCAGTCTTTAATAGGAAGTGATAGGAATGCTCCAGCCACCTTCTAGCTGCTTCTCCATAGCAGCTTTCTGAATGCACATGGTCAAAGATGGGTAAGGGTTAGAGCAGCTGTTCACAAAAAACATTATTATTTTATAGGTGAGGCAACTGCTACTTTTTCTTTGCACATTTGTACCAATATACATTGTTGCTTGTGACTTATAAATGGTATTCTTCTGGTAGCAGGAAGAACAGCTGACCTAACTTTCCAAAGTTTGCAAACTACACGGAACAACACATTTACTTAAGCCTCTTTCAGAGAGGTTCACAATCCCCACCAATCTACTGCAGTACTTACTATCTTCAGCATTAGACAGTTTTTCTTGTAACTAGAATCTTGTTACAGTTTGAGTCCTATAATAATAAAGACAATTATCATCTTTACCATGGAGACATTATTCCTATCTTCTTTCCAGAAATCTCCTTTGTACGTCCACACATAACCATCTGATGGGTTCACAACTTCCTTCAAAGTGCATGACCTGTAACTGGTCAGAGTACTCCAAGGCTTATTAGAGTTAAAGGACTGAAGTGTCATTAAAAAGGTATTTACTACTCTCCTTGCCATCCACAAGATCTATTACAGAAGTGAATTACTACCCCTCTCCATTACTTTTCTGGTACCTACAACAACTTACACCCCAAATGTCCACAATTGTATTTTGCACTAAAAGTAGATATACTGAGAACACACAGGCAGAGGATCCTGCATATAGTGAAAGCAGTTATCGTGGATGTGGAGGTCACGTCTGCTGCACACAGTTCTCTCCTTGCTATCTACACAGTGCAAACTATGCAGTTCACTACAATACAGATTCAAGCAATAAATACACAGATTAATCAGCTTGCAACTTGTAATTCAGGTTTAAAACTGGAGAGTGAAATAGCTTTTCCCTCTAAATAAAAGTGAGACTGTCTTTAGTTTTCAACAAAATGGACAAACGAAAAGCTTTAAGCTCTTCTGTGACTGTAGTAGGTATTTCAACTTTTTTTTTTTTTAAGCTGATGTGTAAGTGATACAGGACTGTTAAAGCAGCTGTACTGAACACAGCAATATTTGATAACATTGAAGTCCTCCATCCAGGTACTGAAATAACATCTGACAGCTTTCCAAAGTTTTCTTCAACAAAAAACTTTTCTAAAAACAAAATTATTGAAATTACAGTTAGAAAAGGCAGAATTTGTAGGATTAGGAGCCTCATCTGGGGAAGACGATAATATAAACAGTAATCTGAAATAGTTGTGTTTCTGAATATGTATGTGTTTCTGTATGGTTTTCTGAATATGTTCCTGACTTGAGATGCTGCAGTGCTTGCATGCTTGAATGATTATAGTGATGTGAATCTACACCTCAGCCATGTAGCCAGTGAAGATCTGGCGATCCCCATACAAAAAATTCTCAACAAGTTTCACAATTTCAGCTTTTAACACAGCTGTGAATCTACATACTAGGACATTGAAATGAAGCATCCTTTACAGTGGAAGACTGCACTAATGTTATATAGCACGGAGAGGTCACAGATACAGAACTTGTTCGTACTCTTATTATGAAGTATATGGTGACCTGGCTAAGGCTTCACATGCGATGGATTGGAAATCATGACATCTGAAGAACAGATGCTGTCACCTTTCTTCCTCTTAATACCTCCAAGGAATGGGGTATCGCTGCCTACTGCAAGACTTGAGAGCCAGGGTATGGTTGTCTATCTTCCACCCTCCCACCTGGAATAAGCTAAGGTAGTGAAGTGTGGCTGGACAGAGACCTTCTTTTAGACTGGTGGGTGCTGAGAACATTTCCAACTCTGTGCTATGAGTGGGAAGAATGTATTTTACACCCTTCCCCTTCTGCTTCCATAAATGACGCAAAGAGCTTTTGCTCCAAGTTTTGAAAAACAAAGAGTAAGAAGTGTCAGCTATGGAGGAAGACCTATGTTACGGACATCAACAAAAGAATGGTAAGGGAATGGGCTCTTAAAAATATTTTAGGATTTTAAATAAAAATTCAAATTGAAATTATGTAAACAAATCCTACTCACTAACTCTTTGCCCATGTCTTTCAATGTCAAGTAGGACCTGGGATAAACACAAACCCTAAACCAGAAGGATGTTCCACAATGCATAAATCAGTACGGTTCATGCAGATTCAAATGTACGTGGGTGGGTCTAGCTGAGAGAAAAGATGAAGAGGAAACCTTCTGATGCTTGCACTGCAGGTCATATCATACATGAAGCTGGAGCAGCTCAGCTCTTTCTCCCTCCTATCCACAGTGTGTTTTCATCTGGTCCCAAATTTGCTTTGCTGTGTCTCCATTCAGAGACAGAGATTTGCCCATACAAAATGTTTGCAAGACTGGACTTACAGTGAAGAGGATGAAAGGGAAAGTTTATTTCCTCTAATTTTGAAGTGCTACAGTTTAGGAGTCAGAATAAAAAATTTCAACAGTAACTACAATGGATGTTAAACATTAACTGCTAAACATTTTTAAACCCACAGGACCCAATAAACTGTATTTTAGACTATTAAAAGTACTCAACTAATGTTTTGAACTACTAATGTTGACTTTAACAAACCCTGGAAAGCTAAGAAAGTTCAAAAGGACTGGGAAATAGCTGATGCTTTAACAGTATTTTAAAAGGTTAATAGAGCAATCATATAAAATGAATTATGTGGTTTCAAAAAAAATGTGTCATTGACAAGTATCAGCATGCTGATACTAGGAATATTAGGACTTTGAGGAATTTCCTTGGTATTGTACATAATATTAGTCCTAAACAAATTCAAGGCAGCACATATGAAGTGGATTAAAACTTCGCTTGCTAGAACAGTTCAAAGTAAAAGAAAAAACTGTGAAAAATCCTCATCCTGTGAAGATTCTGCAAAGATACTTTTATTCAGTGCTAGGCAGCATTTCTACCAATGATCTGCAAGAAACAACCACTCTGCAGGTCGAAGAGGAAAGTCCTGTCACACCAGGAAAAGCGCTGGAGCTGAGTAACGCAGCCCGATCTGCCCCCCGTATAACAACCAACACCACCACTAAGAAAAGGCAACGGGTGATAGCAGTAGCCGACTCTCTTCTGAGCGGTACAGAGGCACCCATTTGCCGACCGGACGCACTCTCCAGAGAGGTGTGCTGCTTCCCGGGGGCTCACATCAGGGATGTCACCGAGAGGCTACCAAGCCTCGTACAGTCCACTGACTATTGTCCGCTGCTGCTGTTTCACGTGGGCACCGGTGACACAGCCAGGAGCAGACTGAGGACTACCAAGAAGGACTACAGAGCCCTGGGAGCGGCGGTAAGGGACTCGGGAGCACAGGTAGTTTTCTCATCAGTCCTCCCGGTCAAAGGGAAGGGGTTTGAAAGGGCCAGTTGAATCTGGCGAGTCAACAAATGGTTATGGGACTGGTGCCACAGCCAGGGGTTCAGCTACTTAGACCATGGGACTCGCTTTGAGAAACCTGGTCTACTGGGGGCTGACGGGGTGCATCTGTCAGAGAAGGGGAAGAGCATCTCCGGTCATAGGCTTGCCAAGCTGGTGAAGAGGGCTTTAAACTAGAGATGCCGGGGGAGGGGA